GAAGACAACAACTGTCATTTAAGATCCATTTCACTTCAAGCATAATGATACAGACATTTGAAATAAAAAAATCATATATTTTCTTCCCTTCTTATTTCAGATTACACACATTCAAAAACAGACACTTAGTAAAATTTTTCAAGAATGTCTATAATCGTTTATTTTCTATAATCTACCACCTTCAAAACGCAACTGAAGAATTACAAAAACAGAATACTAATCAATATCGATTGAACTTCTACAGGCTTGTTGTGAAGTTTTTATTTTGCAGGTGCAATTTATTCAGGTTGCTGATGACAAATGAAAATAACTTTAAATTTTCATAACGCTGAATAATATTTTCACCTGTTATTTTTGTTTCCAATTTTGCATCAAAAACAATTATAATTCTTGAAGAAATCTTTGGCATCAAATATCTGCAAATGACTAGATATGTATTTGAAGACGAAAAGACATTGAATAACTAAAAACATTGTATGTCATTCAATGAAAGATAATTAACTTTCCAATTTCCTCTTTCTCCCAAAATAGTTTGCTTTTTTACCTCTATATTTTTTGAATCACTGAAATAAAAGAAATCGCATAAAATAACCACATTACTTTTGTTAAACAAAATCTGCCTCGCTCTTAATAGCAGTTAAGAAGTCCGTTATTCTTCACCTATCTTTATTTATAGCAAATACAAAATTTTCTATTCTTTAAACTAATATTCTATACGGATTTTTCTTTGATGATTAAAAATTCAGTTTTATTAAAATTATACTTCTATGATCCCATACAAAATTTTGGTGTAACTTTGATAAGTGGTGTTAAATATTTTTGCCTCTTATAAAAATGCGATATAAAAGCCAAAGCTACTTGACTATAAAAAAATAATCTTACACTGCTCTCTTAATATAGGAGTACAACCAAAAATTCTCAGGAAAAAATATTCTTTACTACTTCTACAAAAACGCATAATTAATAAAACAACGAAAATATAATATAAATTAATAAAAAATGTATAGTTGTTAGTGAATAGAGAAAGTTATGAATTATCCCTTTTTACTTCCTTTTTATTATTTCATTTTGACTGCTATCGAATGCAATTTAACGATATTTTTGCGCGATATCTGTACGTAAGGACAGAATAAAAGACTGTTTTCCTCCAAAAAAATTACAAAACTGCTTCAAAATGAATTCTAAAGAGAATTTTTCGTGGCGTCTGTACGAACGTATGTACGTACGTATCTGGCTTAACTTAAAAACGAGTAGCCTCACAACGTTGAAATTTTGTATATATGACTGCTATAACATGCAGATGTACACCTCGTATTTTGGTTGCAATCGGCCGCGCCAAACGTATATAAATATATTTATATATATATCCACTCTGTTACCCGTCTCAGTTTCTTTACTCTTATAGGTTTGTAAATTGTATATTTTTTGCTTTAAAAATGATTTAATTATGTTGTTCTTATCTTCCGGTTTAAATCTGTATGCAATAATTTTAGAATTATCAACAATTTTAAAGTTGTTTAATTGTCGCTAAGCCTAATAATTCTTTTTGATAGCGGCCATTGCTTGTTTACATTTGAAACAGCAGGATAGTGGATTTGTTGCCAATCTAGAGAAACTTAGCTTCGCCACAACAAAGATAACGCCTTCATTTATTATTGCGAATTAAATCATGTTTAATCCTTTCTGGAATTTTTTCGAGGAAATAAATGCTTAAGATTTACTTCGTAATTTTTAATATATATATATTTTAAGTTTCTATGTATTTTTGCCTTGTCGCGAAGTGAGAACTGAATTAATTGAATAAGAAATACTCAATCGTCTGTGAAAACTGTTTCTTTTTTGTTTTGTTTGCTTAATTTCTTTTATACATCGTTCTAGCTTTATTATAGTATTTGAATAGGACATGTGGCAACGATTAGATAATTCTTTAAGTGATATAAATTCTGTGCATTCTGAGTTATAATATGAACGAAATATGATACTGTTAAGTGAACCTAGTGCCAGAGTGTCGCTATGGTAAACAAATATAGTGAATTTTAAAGAATGCATTTATTGTATTGTGGTTTATGCGCTGTCGGCGAAGTAGATTTAATTCAATCCAATAAGTTTAAATGAAATGCAAGAGAAAATGCGTATAATTTAATATTCCGTACAAGGAAGTCATGTGGTGTACACATCAGATTTTTTTTATTCAACTATCTGATACTTTTATATGAATATTAAGACAGAGCTATATTGAAAAGCGTAATTGATAATCATGCATACAGTGCAAGTGTTCAATGATATTTTCTTGAACCAGAATTCCTCACCTAATAACAGAACTTATTTTGCAGCGACATGCTACTAAATATAAGAGCGACTATATTATTCTAATTTAGTATCACAAGTTGAAAATTGCGTTTAAGTACGTAATTTAATTAAAGATATCTGAAAATATAAAACCTCAGTCTCAAATAAATAAAGATTAATAAATCAAAATTATATCTTATATCTTAACTACTTTATTTAGGTAGAAATTAAACAAATTTCTAGAAAATGCCAAATACAGTTTCTAAGGCATTAAGATATAAATGCCATAAAGGTGTAATAGATAAGCAATTAATCAGCTCTCGCACTGAATAAACAGAGTCAAATATTGGTTGCGGAGGCCACTTATGGCTTGTGGTAGGATATGCGGTTTGTCCATGGCAGACCTCAGTTTGATCCTCGAGCTCCGGGCCAGGTTCAAAGATACAGAGGTAACGGGGCATTACTATCTTACAATAAAACGTCTCTGCACACATCATTCGGCAAATCTAGTTTGTAATTATTATTAAAAATAAATACCATTTTTCGTTTCGACTGCGAAATAATGCTTAGTCATCACAAAGGTTTCTTTCCTGAAAATATATTAAAATGTTGGCATTTCGTTTATTCTCCTCTCTAGAAACAGTGGATTTTTGTCTTAAATATGCGTTGTAATTGCAGTCCGTTACTTTTTTCTGATGTATATTGCGATTTTGTTTTTTGCACATGTGTTATGAATTTTCCTTTTTGAAGAAAGCGTTACTATTATTGAGTGTAAAGGATAGTATTTTGACTTTTTTATTATTGTTGTGCGTACGGGTTCATCAAGATAACCAGATTAATTGGAAAAAGAAACATAAAATTTTATTTCAGCTTGAGATGATAACAACTTTGTAGGGTACGTAAAACTTAATGAGATTTTATTAAACTTTATTTGAAAATGAAAGAATTTACTTACAGTTTGGCATCTTCATCTTGAAATCTATTCTACAGCCACTGTTCCCTTTCTAGAGGAAAAACATTGACTTTGACACAGAAGAATTACATGAAATGAAGATGAATGATGAAGTTTCTCTCAGTTTAAACTCACACTTAAGAAAAAAATTTATTCTAAAACACAATGACATATGGAATAAAAGAATTTCTCTTAAACTAAAAAATGAGTAGATGAGTAAATACATTGATAAATAGATAAATAAGAGGGGAAATGGAGCTTAAGCTTAAGCATTTCGCAGCCACGAACACGAGGATATCGCTCAAAAAGCGTTGCCAACAGAGTTCTGAAAATTACGTTGTTGCCTTTTTATATTGAATTAGTCACTCATTCTGTTACGTCCTTGATTGATGTACGTATGTGATGGAGTTAGAATCCAACAAATGTAAAAATAACTCAAACAGGACAGAAAATTGAGTTAAAATTCTCTTTAACATACGAATACTGCCAGATTTTAAAATCACACACAAAGAAAACATTGAGCCCTCGACAGCATATCGGTCTGAAATATGTTAAGGTAATAACTCTCAACTACCTAGCAACTCTTAGCAGACCCTATTTTTTACCATCTCTCAAGAGGGTTAGAATGCATTACTAAAATCCTCTAGAAAAGTGGGTCCTAAACCCTTAATTTTGTTTTTCTGAAAATATCTAATATCTCGACAAGTTTGCAAGAGAGCCAAAATTTCTCTGCAAGACTTGTTTGAAAGTGTTTTTCACGTGTTCTCTCATCATGCTATCTTCACAATTCCATCTTAAATACTCAAAGGACTGTGTTAAATATAAGTTTATGATTATGTATCCTCAGATCGCCAATAGATGGCGGTAGTATTTATTTGTAAAAAGAAACTGTGATGTCAAAAATATGTATATGTTTTCAGTTCGTCTTTGGTTTTTTAATAGACGTTGTATGAAATAACGCTCTCTGTTTATTACTTTAAGTTCGATCCAGTCTTATTTATTAGAGACTTACATATATTTTGTTTATGGTGCCTCCATACCGGGATTGTTACGCTTATTCACAAAGCCTACAGACAGTTTCTACTGCTGTTTGCTCCGATTGTTTAAAACAGGAAACGTAGAGTTAGAGAACCTAGTGCTTGGCGACTTTTGGTTCATCGCCTTTGGAATTTGTATTTAAGCGTGGTGTACCAAAATTTGTGCATCAAGATTCGCTTGCTGGACGCTGACTGTGAAGGTGCTCAGTCTCCTCGCTCTGTGCTAAGCCTTGCTGATTTATCTACTATTTTAGCATTCCTTGTATCTCGCTCTGAAAAGGTTAGATTCTCGTTGAACCTTGCGTTCTGAGATCTGTAAAAAGGCCTTGTGTGGGATACAAGCGTACAAATTTGTGCTTTCTTTTCGATCTGAAATTGTCGGTCTCGGCGACGATTTCACACTTTGATGAGTACAGCCACGTGCTAGGCTTAGTGGATGCTCGGTTCGACTCAACGCCAGAGGATTGATTTATCACGTCGTTGCTCTAAAAACGTCTGCTTGCTTATTGGTGTTGGTTTAGCACTGATTTGTTTTATTTGATTTTTTGCTGGATTTTTAGCTTACTTAACTTAGCTTTTCGCAGTTACGCGTTAGTCAGGAGCCCAGTGAGTTTTCCGCCTGCCCATCTGTCTGCCGGGACGCCGTCGAGCGGGCCCCGTAGCAGGGCGCAGGTTTCTTTTGAGCGTTTTTGGGCGCTTCGATTTCCTTTTTCGTTTGGATCATGGACAGAGTAAGGCTAGTTTTTCAGCAGCTTCTAGCTGAATTGGATGAGGTACGTAGCGTTGCTGGTGCACTTGCGAGTGATAAGGAGCGCGATTATAAATTTTATCAACAAATGCTAGCATGTATTGAAAATTACATTGCAGGATCAGATAGTGACACACGTGGCGTTACTAGACATAACACTGATGCACATAAAGATGACAGGAATGCTACACACAGTGACAACGATCGTTCTCGTAGCCCTATAAAGTTGAATGAAAACTCTGCGGTTAATTCGGATCATGAAATAACATTAGATCAAGATGTAAGCTCCGATGAGGAATTTTACAGGAAAAGGCGAGGCGATCAAACTGTACGTAGTCGTACTGTTAAGGCGACGGTGATGAAATCAAAACAAGAGCACAAAGCACTTGTTATAAGTAACTTACCTCCCTTAACTAAACCCGATATTGCACCCGCTAAAAGCAACACAGAGAGTACGGGTAAAAATAAAAATATGACTAAATCTCCTTCTAAGGTGAACAATAATGATGAGGATAAAATGAATAACGCTAAAAATTCTGATATTGAAGAGAATGTAGAAAATGCAAAGACAGTTGATAACGAAATAATGGATACTTCCTCTGCTGCTAATGAGCAGATTAGAACTTCAAAAATAGACACTACTACGCAAAATAATGACCTTGAAGCGGAATTTGTTAAGAAAAGTAGAGTTCCGCCCATTACCATCAGAGTTAGTAATAAAATTTTTCAAAATTTAAGAAACACATTCATTGAGAGAAACATAGATGTCATGAGTAAAAATACCCCTAAAGGTATTAAAATTTTTGCAAAGGATGCTAATGACTACAAAGTCATTGTTAGACTACTTCGTGCTGCCAAATATTGAACACCACTCATTTATACTCCCTCAGGATAGAGAGACTTAAAGGTTGTAATCCGGGGTTTACTAATTGATACTGAAATCAATGACATACAAGACGCACTCGAAGCTCAAAACTTTACTGTTAAATCTATTAAGCAGATGACCCGTAGGCGTAACGGTGACGTTATAAAGTTACCATTATTCTTAATTACACTTCCCAAAAAAGACGAATCGAAAGAAATTATAATATCACTAATTTATGTGGACTTGGTACCAAAATTGAGGATTACCGCGGTCGGGCTGGGCCCCTGCAATGTTACCGTTGCCAGGGGTTCCACCACACCCAGGCCGGTTGCTACTTTACCCCCAAGTGTGTGAGATGCGCGGAAGAACATTATTCTTATGAATGTCCAAATAAAAGTAAGGAGAAACCCCCGAAGTGCGCGAACTGTCAATTAGAACACACTTCGAACTTCAGGGGGTGTGTAAAGTTCCCTAAGAAGAAACAAGACAAGGTTAAGACCTTCCCAAGCCGTGTAGTCGAAAATAAAACATTTGCGCAGGCTTTATCCGCTGGCCTCTACACGGACACTATCAAAGAAGCAAAAAAGGTCTTCGAGGATTTAGCGGAATTAGTAAGTGTCATTAAATCTCCGGCTTCTTACTTTCAAAACAATTACAACACGCCAAAAAATTTAATTGATGAAACTCCCAAATCCGGTGAACATAATGGCCAATAACACCATTACTAAGGCTCCCATCAGATTAGTGTATTGGAATGCGCACAGCATTCAAAATAAATTAATGGAGTTTGAAAATTTTCTATTTGATCATGAAGTTGACATCGCCCTGATTACGGAGACCTACGCTACTCCGTGTAGTAGCATAAGGATCAACAATTTTCGTACATATCGTTGCGACAGGCTGAGTCACAGAGGGGGGGGGTGTTGCGGTGTACGTTCGAAACTCCCTTCAGTCTTGCTTAATTGCCGAGGATAGAAACAACTCTCACGAGTTAGTTACAGTTTCGGTTTTATTACCCTTTCTGGGTACCATCTATTTTAGTGCCTTCTACAATCCTCCTCAAGTGAAATTCAACGAAGATATTCTTAAGAATATTTGTCCTGAACAGAACCAGTTTATCTTAGCAGGCGATCTCAATGCTAAGCACAGAGAATGGGGTTGTCGTTCTACAAATAAAAACGGGAAAACCCTGTATGACTTTTTGAACAATTACCCAATTACACTAGAAGCGCCTGCAGAATTTACATATCGTCCTGATAATACTCATCAGGCAGATATCCTCGACTTGCTACTTACTAACACCTCAATTCCGATGTTCACTGAAGTTGTACATGAGCTGACTTCTGATCATTTGCCGGTCCTCGTTACACTTGGTACGACCAAAGAAAGAAGCTGCGAGAAAATTAATCTTACTGATTGGAACCTTTTCAAAGACATCTTGCAGGTGAACCCTCCGAATATTGGAAGTCTAAGAACCAGAAATGATATAGATGCAGCCATTGATAATTTGACAGACAGCATAAACATTGCAGTCAATAACGCCTCTCGTCAGGTTAATAAGGAGGAATTTGCCGGTAGACTGCCGAAGAGCATTAGGGACTTAATTAAAGATAGAAACCGACTAAGGAAAAGATGGAATTTGACTTGGAGTCCTCTGGTTAAGAGAGAGTTAAATCAATTAAACAGGCTCATTAAAAAGAAAATTGCTGAGCATAGAAATGAGGTTTGGGAAGAAAGGATCCTGAATTTAAACCCAGAGGACGGTTCGCTATGGAAGTTTATTAAAAACCTTAAAGGTACTGCTACTTGCAACAGGCCCATTTATACTGACAACAATATTGCCACTACTAACAACGCAAAAGCACACGTACTGGCGGAGCACCTTGAACAGCAATTTATGCCAAACCGCATCCCACGTAATATTGATTTTACCTACGAAGTTTGCGATTATTTACGCGACTGGCTAAACGCGCCGACAGTCAGAAATCTCCCAAAATTTTCATCGCCCTCTGAGGTCCAGGATATTATTAAGAAATTAAAGAGACGAAAGGCACCTGGCTATGACATGATTAGTAACACGGCTATTAGAAATCTGCCTGTCAATTGCATCACGATATTTACTAGCATCATAAATGCAAGTTTAAAGTTAAGTTACTTTCCCGTTAAATGGAAGCATGCGAAGGTCATACTTCTTCCAAAGCCCGGCAAAGATAAAACAAAACCTGATGGATACAGGCCTATCAGTTTGCTTCCAGGCTTTGGAAAGATTTACGAAAGAGTTATATTTAACAGATTAAAGCCTTATCTGAACGTCCTTCCCCCGGAGCAGTTCGGGTTTCGAAGCAAGTTATCCACCACAAAGCAGTTAGTAAGACTTACAGAGTTTTGCGGAGACGCACTTCATAAGAAACAGAATGTGGCAATCCTCATGCTAGACGTGGCGAAAGCTTTCGACCGCGTCTGGCATGAGGGACTTATCTTCAAATTAATCCATTATAATATAGAGAGAGAGCTAATTCAGCTAATTGCGTCCTTTCATCCAAGATAGAACTTTTACGGTGGCTATTGGAAAAGATCACTCCAGCGTCAGGCCAATAAATGCAGGGGTCCCTCAAGGATCCATTTTAGGTCCCATTTTGTATCTTTTGTATGTAGCAGATTTTCCTAGGTCGCAGCTAGATAATAATTTCTTCCTGGGATGTTACGCGGACGACACGGCCTTGGCCGTTAAGTCCGCAAATGCAAATTTTGCTATTCGTAAGCTGCAGAACATCATGCCTAGTATTGAGAACTGGTGCGCAAATTGGAGAATATCCATAAACGCCCAAAAATCTAACTTGCTCATAGTGCGACGAAAAACACACCAGGACGCCTGTGCAGGAGAATATTACATTATTTAATGAAGTTGTCCCAAAAGTTCGAAATGCCACCTATCTTGGTATAGTCTTTAATGAACAGCTTACCTGGAAGGACCACATCACACATGTTCGCAAAAAGGCGTTCCATGTTATTAATAGCTTAAAGCCCCTTCTAGGGAAATTTTCAAGTCTTGACCTAAGAAGAAAGCGTTTAATTTACCTCACTACTATTAGGCCAGTCATCACATATGCATCGCCTGCTTGGTCGACGATACGTAAAAATGATATTAAAAGGCTGCAACTAATACAGAATAGAGTGCTTCGTACTATTACTAACGCGCATATGTATGTCAGTAACTTAACTCTTCACCATGACTTGCGTCTGGATACACTTGAGGAGCACATACGCAAACTTAATAGGCACTTTTATGATAAGGCACTTAAGTGTGATCACATGAATATTTTTTCAACTATGTCATATTAATGGAGGATAAAGACCTACGTCCATTCGCGGCCCACGTCTGTAACTCAAACTTCCCCACTTGATAATTTTGTATATATTTGAAAATAGTTTGTTTGTATTATATGACAACATCTCCACCTCTGTCCATAATGCTTAGCTCTCCTGACCGAATGATGCCGGTCCCCCCCTTTTTGCCACCTCCTATTTACTGTATGTACGTGACGATTGACTTATCGTGATGTCGCCATTGGGGCTAGTTTGATAGAGCCGGATACGCAGTTCACAGGACTGCATTGCCGGCAATAACCTGCCAGTCAGTAAGTCATTTGTGCATAATTCAACGGAGGAACCGCAGCTCAGCGGTAACGAGCGCCGAAAAAGTTCTCAGACTTCTAGATCGTCATTTTTATCCCCGCTCGTAGCTTTCATAAACGATTTTATGTTTAAGTATGACGTATTTTTTTATTTTAACTTTATTGAATGACTTTCATTATTTGTTTGGGTGCTGTGTTATAAAAATTAAAAGCCTAAAATTATTTTCTCTACTTTTGTTAATTTTTCTTATTTTTATTTACTGGTTTGTACTCTTTGTACGAGGTATCAGTAGCAACATTGCGATCCAAGATCCCAAAAAGGGTTTCAATAGAAATAACGCATAATGGAATGAAATATAATTTTAGTTATACTTACTTTTCATAATTTAGGTAAAAAAGAATAGGTATTCCGACGCCCTTAAATGTTTACTGAATGTTTTCATTTGGTTTATTTTTTAATATTCCTTTATTTGTATAAATTAATGCGCAATGTGTAAATTTACACAACAGACTCTTTCTAACAGAAATGACGAAAAAGTGCGTATGCTATCTCCATGTAAACACCTCTTTCTTGTAAAACAATTACGTACTTTGAAAAGTTTAAATTCAATACAAATAAACTATTAATAAGATTAGTAGTTATATAAAATATATTCCACACAATTCCTCCAAACTTTCATTCATAAACTAAAAAATATCGAATGAAATAAACGCTGTTTCCGTTTGTTTGGCGTTAATTACCACGACTATAGGGCGATAGCTCGCCATTCCAAATATGACCGCCAAGCAGATGTTTCATCCAATGACACAGACCTTACAGAAATGGTCTGTAGGCTTTGTGAATATGCGATTGTTACGAACCCAAAATATCAACAGACTGAATATTTCGAAAAAAGAGGGCGTTCTTGAAAATTTGAAAAACAAACGATCAGTTGTAAGGCAATTAACTATGAAACTGATAACCAAAGTCGAAAAGAATTTAGCAAATAATATTCCGCTAAATGAAAAAATTGAAATAATCGAGGATTTGTATGAACAGTTAATTGAAAAAAATCAACGAACTGGAAAGTTTACATTTAGAAATCGAAACGAAAGTAACTTCGAAGGAGATTGAAAATGAAGTTATGCTGAGTCAAGAATACCAGGATAAAACTGTTATATGGAGAGGAAGAAAGCAACGATCTTTGAAAACGAATTCGGAATCTTCTAGAACAGTTCATCAAAACGAAACGGCTAATGTTGCACTTCAAGATGAAACGAAAGCAGTGAAGTTACCACTTCTGCAAATCCAAACTTATTACGGAAATTCGTGTAAATGGGTTGGACTTTTGGAACCAATTCGAAAATACAATTCACAGTCATAAT